TGGACACACACACACACACACACACACACACACACACACACAGTGCCAGGGTCTGACTTGGGATTAATGATTCTGCCAACCTGCTCAGTAGAAAGTGTGATGGTGCCATCTAGCGGTGAGTGAGAGGAATTACATTAATTAATTTTTTTTTCTCAGAAAGAAGAAAGCACCACCAACGTTTTAAGATGATGCTTTATATTATATGCAATCTAAACTATCAATAAAATAAGAGCTTTTGGGAGAACTATCTGTGTGTATAATATTATTACACATAAATATTTAATGAAGTTGGTTTAACACTACAGAGAGTGCAGGAGTTTAACAGTTTTGGTCAGACGTCCACATGCAYTCATTATGGGCTTGAATGTGAATGTAAYTGYATATAAATTATTATTATTACAYAACATACAACTGATTTTTAAAGCAAAAGTTGAATTGAGCACTGGATCAAATTTTGCTATTGATTTTTTTTTCTAAAACTTTAATAAGTGGGGTCTGAGGGGTCTAGAAATGTATTTAATTTRAAAGGCCCTTTATTCTTGTTAGTGATCATGACTGACTGCAGCTGACCGTTTCTCTTTGCCAGYATAAAAAGAATTGGTTTGACAGCACTCATTGGATGGACTATAAATCATGTTTCCCTCTGAAGAAAGGAAGTTGGTGGATGTCAGGATYAACAAAGGAGCCACGATGGAGTCAGCTGGAACAGCTGCTGCTGCCCACGAGGACAAGTCTTCTGGAGTCAGACGAGACGAAGACTGAGCTGCTTGGGTGAAGTCAAACCTAAAAAAWCACTGCACCATTGTCAAGCATGGCGGTGGTACTGTCATGCTGGGTGATATGAACAGGGTGAAGGTCTTCAGCTTTCCCTCCACTCCACAGCTCGATTGTTCAAATGTAGGTGTTCCAACAAGAAAATGATCCCAGAACAGGTTCCTGRGAGGATAAAACTGTTGGAATTGTTCTTCCAGAGCACCGATCTCACCGGTTCTGTTTTTGATGTGGTCAAATATCCAGTCAGGATCGTTTTTGGGTATGAAAAGCATGTGGTCAAGATCGTATGTTTTAAGGGATGTTAAATTAAATATTAGTGGGAGCATGTCCATATTCACTGCMTGGTTAAAAAAAAGTTGCCACCTAAAACAAAAAAAATAAAAAATAAAAAGGGTCACACACTATTTCATTGGACGGCCTTTAGGTTTGATCACAGCACACATTCACTGTGGCCTTGTTTTGATAATCTTCCTAGACCTGACCAACTGCAGCAACCAGAACACAGCCCCGCCCCCACAGGCTGAAAGTAGACATCCTCAGAGACATGGGGCCCCACTGTCCCTGCAGTTTTAGTAACCCGTTGGACAGTTCTTAACCCASTTTCAGTAGTTTCTGCAATCTCCTGCTTGATGCCAATGATTTGACCCTTCTCAAACACACCACCATCTCTTCCCCGACCACAGGATGTGCCTTTCCACATGGTTATTTWAGAAATGAGAAGCAACTCATTACACCAGTTGGGRTTAAATWACGTGTTGCCAGCTGAAAGATAATCTCCCGTGCAGGAACTATCCAATAGGAGACATGTACCTGTTTGCTTTGTTGAATTCAGGTGACAATTTATTTATTTCTGGCCAGGCAGTGTGTTTGAACCGGCATCCATAACTTTGAATCCACAGTAAATTAAACTTGTGTTCAGTTCTTGTTTTCATAATTGATTCGGTTTGTTGCAGAATAAATATTAAATCATCAAAAGCCCAAAATATTGTGTTCTTTAGCTCAGGAGATATGCTTCTGATCACAGGTCAGGGGCGGTTCTAGGGGCGGGGCCACAGAGGCATTGGCCCCTGCTGAAGTTTGATTGGCACCATGACGTGCCCCCGTCCTGTCACTCATCTGTCCTTTGCCAAGAGTGATGATGCTGGGTGCAGTTCCATGTCTAAACACTAGAGGCACTAATGAGCCAAATATAAAAGTCCRGCATGAATCAAGCTGACAGAAGTATTTTTCTTTTCTTAAAATTTGAAAAATCCGGTAGAAAAAGTATTTTAACTCACAAATGATGGCTGGGTTATCTCAAATGTTTTGTGTTTGACAGTATTTTATCCATGTACTGTAAAACGCATGTAAAATTGGTAAGGAGAATTTACAGTGCACGCTGTTTTAAAATTACACTGCAAGTGTTTAAATGTGTGACTGGTAAAATATATACACCATAGCAAAACCAGCGATTTGTGTGCAAGGACGCTGAATAAATATTTGGCCCCTCTATGAATATTGTGGCCCCTTACTCAGAAAAATCCTAGATCCGCCACTGCCACAGGTGTACGTAGTGAAGACAGCTGAAATTTTAACTCCGTTAACAGATTCAGTGAGAAAATCACGCTCATGTTCGTCTTTTCATCACTCAGCACACTTAGCTAAATATTCAGACAGCAAATGACTCATGAATTATAAACAGGAGGAAAGGTCACTTTGATATTTTAAAACTATCTAAAATATAAACTGGTTCGAAGGGGCCCAGGCATCACAGTATTTGGGTCTGAACATTGCCCCTCATTGACAGGTTTTATGTGATGTTTGTTGTAAACAGGGTAATAAGACGTCAACAGTCAAACATGGTTTCTGTTGAAACCAAAGATGTCTGTGTGCAGACACAGATGAGGAAAATGGACAATAATATTCTAAAAAAAAAGAGCAACAGCAAATGTGATATTTATTACATGAATAGGTTTCTGTCATTCAGAATGAGAGGAAAAAACTGCAGAACACAAATTTTACGTCACATTTGTAAACAAAACGGCAATTTATATATAAAAAAAAATCAAAGAGTTAAAAAAAGAGATGCATACTGAATGTTGTGGAACAAATGAGTGTTTACAAACCATTAAAACCATGACGTTAATCCAGCTCAGACTGCAGGACAACTGTAAAACGATGAGGAAGGTATCTGTCAACACTTCAATAACAAACAAACCGAACCGTGGCTCTAGCTGTCCAACAGTTTCAGGATGCTCTCCCTCTCCTTCAGAGCCTTCCAGGCTTGGTCTTTCTCCTTCTTGGTGGGAGTGCGTTTCTTTTGCCTGGCTGCCATGATCCGCCTGAAGCCCTCCATCACCTCGTTGTCAGACACCCTCACCCGCTGCCTCAGCTCCTGTTTGCGCATCTCGTCCTTGGCCATCCTGTAAGACACGGGGACACAGAGCGGGGTCAGGCTTTACACGTGACGGGGGGGGGTTTACCAGGGAGGTGGGACAGGCGGACACGCTGTTCTCACCGGAGCAGCTCCTGCTTCCTGGACCTGTTGTGGGCGCTGAGGGCTTTGAGCTCAGCCTGCCTCTTCTGCAGCTCTGCCAGGACCTCGTCCTCAGAGTCCCCCCCTTGTCCAGGTCTCTCCTCGGAATCCAGCAGCCCCTGGGCTATCAGCTCCTCCTTAATCCGTGCCTCCAGGGAGCGCGTGTGAGGAACACTGAGGGTGAAAACAGCAATTAGCTGTTAACCCCATTTAAAATGCATTAATTAAAGCTGTTATTATAGACACAGGAAGTTATCAGGTTGACTCTGRGTCATTAGAAAAGTTGATTTTTGCAGAAATTCAACTCGTGCAGATCAGTTTTCGGCTCATTTTTTAATCCCAATGATCCATAAATACAAAATATCCACCTTAAAATATGTCCATCTCATCTGAGTTAATTCATTCTGACAATGTCTCTAATATTTTTGTAGAATATTAAATCTTTCAAATTCTAAGTGCTACAGTGAGTTTTGTTGTGATTTCTCATTTAAAGTAGATGTATTGAGATCTGTAAAGTCAGTGAGGTGAAATTTCTGGGTGTCATCATAGATGACAAGCTGACATGGAGACCTCACAAACTTTATTTAAAGGGATCCACGATTAGTTGTAACATTAGACTTTATTT